ACCCATATAGCATATTTTGAAAAATCGTGTCCGCCATCTTGGATTTACAAATAAGTGCTATATTCGTTTTTCATCGACAAAACCGAGCATATCTGTAGGCACCTGATCGACATTGTCGATCGACAAAATCGAGCACATCTGTAGGCACCTGATCGACAATGTCGGGCAAATCTGTAGGCACCTTTAACTTAATGATGAGTTAAGCAAGATACAATTTCCCCACTTTTGAGAGAAATGTTATTCCATGGCATCATTATTTGTATATTTGTGTGCGTGCCGACGAGCGTAGTTACAAGTTGCTTACGCCTACATGAATTTGGTTTTTGCCTCACTTGTGACAGTTCGTTTGATATGAAACTATCATTCTATGCGTTATTATTCTAAGTATAGTACGGTATGTACAGTTATTATAATTATTATTTAGTTTATTTTTTGTTACACCTATCAGAATTTGCCATTAATTTCTTCATTTTACTACTATTCAATAAGTATGCAATTATGTGTAAATAACGCATGTTAGTGTAATGAGCTGTCCCAAATGAGAGGTTGAACCACTGTGGTAGCATGTACCTATGATTTTAATTTAAAAAAACGTGACGGAATACGTCGTGATGAAACCTGCACGTCGAAGAAGATTCGGAACCCTTGGATAACCGTCTCATGTGAGGAGACCCGCGCCCAGAAGTGGGACATCCAATAAGTTGACGATGACGATGATGATGAATTCATATTATATTGAAATGTGTTAAATAATCATTTCGACGGTGTTCTTCCTTAGTGAGTAACCCACCGGAAATAATGAAATTACCTATGAATATATGAACAGTCTTGTTCAGAGTTTAATATTCTTTTAACAATTATCATTAATAGAAATCGTTATGAATGTAAAATAAAAAATTGGTTTCACGTACCTAAACGAATTCAAATTATACACCTTTGAATGTGGTTTGAAACCTTTACGCGATTTAGTTTGTAGCTTATCAACTTTTTGTATATTCTTTCAATCACAAAATTACATTTTCGTTAATGTATTCGATTAAATATCAATGTAAGCCTGTTTTTGACGGATATAACATTTTTCTTATGTAGCAGTTATCTTGGAATTTAGCAACACCATATAGTCGTGAGTTATTTCCAAAAAAAAAAGAGCAACGCTTTAGCTATATTTGGTAGTGAAAGCGAGTGATCCTGAGGCTTCAACAGTGGAGGTAGCAACGATTTCTAAAAATTGGCCCCGACAGATTTGGCGAGAGACTACAAAGGTTTACTCCGTGGGGGATGTGAAGCCAGTCGCAAAAAACGGTTACAGAGGCCCTTATGTAAAGTAATTTTATTTTACATGGTGACTTTATTATAGACTATTACCGGTGTCTGAACTTTCGGAACCACGCCTGATCAGCAAACTGTTTCTGCGACTCAATACAGGCACAATCATTTTTAAGTTTTGTTTTCGAGTGAAATATTCAAGTATGAATTTAAAACTACATATATCTTATAAGATCACTCCAGAAATAACATTCGCACAGTCCGACAAATCGTCGAAAGAAAAAGCAAATTCGCCGCCAAAGAATATCATACAAATATAATATCGTCCCAATCTGCTGACTTGTTTCGACATACACGTCTAGTATTATAGGATCCTGGTCAGGTGAACAGTAAGCGGAAAAAAAACCCGATTGAAGCCGGAGCTTGGTAAAGGTGACCCGACCCGCAGTCTGTAGCTGAGCAAAGGCATATCCCCGGGCACGCCACAATGCATGGTTTTCAGCATGCTATGTGTACACTTTGAAAATCATCACCACTATGCCAATGGTAGGCACCGGCATAAAGTATCTGTTCATCTGCTCCAGGCTATCGACAGCGACGGTCGGCTTACACTCAAACGCTAGCGTAAGGCTTAATGTTGTGCTCCAACGTTCAAGCTGGGTACCCGTCGAAGTCTTTTAAAAAGAGCAAACTGGAAGAGAAAGAGTATTCAGTTGTTGTTGACGTTGAAGTTGTACAGACTATGATGCTACACAGATGGCGGACTGGGTTGGAGTTCGCGGGTACGAATTCCTTCATTAGTGGTCTTAAACCTGAATTTTTCGAATAGAGGTACAACTTGCGGTCGACGAAGGGAGAACCGTGCATTAGGTGTTACTAACTTCCGAGATACCTAGAATACCTAATATCTAGAACACAGAAATTGGTCGGCCGATGCAATATTACCTATCCTGGGGGTCTACTCTCGATCTCCGTCTGACATCCGTCCGAAACAATTACTGCCAAATAAGCAATGCTTGACCAAATGAAAAGACGCGTGATGCGAATGAAGCTTCATACTTGATACTTGTCTTTTAACTTTGTCGAATATTACTTATTTGACAGTAATTGTTTCGGACGGATGTCGGACGGAGATAGAGAGTAGACCCCATCAACCCAGAAACGAACCGAACATGATTTGACTGGAGACTATGCACCAACCAAGGCCGAAGTCTTGTGTAATATGTGACTTTGTCAAGTTACTGAAATTTGTAATATATGGATCTATATTTAGAGCAAAAACTTTTTAGTACGAGACTGAATTCTGCGTATTTAGCGGCAAAATACCTTTTACGACACTTGAATTTCTGACCGTTGATGTTATTCATTCACTCGGAGATTTCGCGCATAGAAACTAGGGTAAAAATACTTGCAAACGCAAAAGACATTAACCTTTAAAAAACTCGCTGCAACTTCAGCCCCTACAATTAACGTTCTCGATTCAATTACCTGTAAACGAGTCTAATTTTGGACGGTGACGCTAAATTATTTTTAAACCTTTTTTTTTATTCATCGTTTTTATATTAAACAAGATTTCCCAGAGTTTTCAATATTAAGTGATACATTGCATTGCTTCGGTTAGGACTTATTTAGGTATCGTTCCGTATTTTTAACCGACTTCAAAAAAAAAGGAGGAGTTCTCAATTCGACTGTATTTTTTTGTATATATATTACGCGATAACCTGTGAACCGATTTTGATGATTGTTTTTTTTTTGGATTTGAAGGAAATATTCCACCTCTAAGGGTGGCAAACTAGGGGATGAATCCGGTTTCGCGCACTTTCCGGCAAGGGATTTCAATAAAACTTGGCTAATATATGTATATGTACGTAATTCTTCGAACTTTTGAAGTCGATTTTTTTATACGACTTCGTACTGAGACTATGTGAATATACGTTAACCACGTTTGATTTATAAAATTAATTAAACGTTTTTGATATGTCGAGTTTTGCGTAAACCATTTCTATTTGTGCTCAAACTTGGTCTTTAACGAGTCATCAGAAGATCGCAATTGGCAT